ATCCACATGGATCAGTATATACCACATCATTATTTTTTTATTGTTATATAAGGCAGTGCTGCTAGTAAGTTATATATGAAAGCAACCAAATTTTCTAAATCCAGACTCCCATCATTTATATTCAAACACTTGTGTGGTGGCTTCTGGACTGGCTACTTGTGCCAAGCTCAATGTATGGAACTTAAATTAAACAGGGAGTTAATTTTACTTTTGGAACTGAATTTCTGAATTCTGATGCCGCATCAAATTTCGATTATAACCAACCGCATGAAAACAAGTTATCAGATGCGGCAGAATTTAGTGATTCATATTCTAACAGGTTTAACTAATTAAAAGTAAGAGTTTTTTTTTTTCTCCTATTAGAACTAAAACCTGTTATATAGAAACGTGGCAGTTCATAATCAGCACATCAGGAAAAGGGGGGGAAAAAGGAGTTGCGCCCATGTGCATTGCTAAATGATCTCGAATCATTTTTGTTCATAAAAACAAAATCCGAAGCCTCTTTCTTGGCATCGGTTTGCCTGTGCATGTTGCTGGAGATTGCTAATTTGACTGCATTCTCGATAACAGGACAATGATACAGCTTTAATTACTTGAAGGTGAAGAATAGGGCGAGAGAGCTGCAGCGTCTTACCGTCTACGGAGTCGGTGGCGGCTTGGGTGAGCTGCATCAGAGGGTAGGCCTCGAAGGCGTTGATGATTGGGGGGAGGGTAGAGTTGCTCGTGGCGTCGAGAACGTATTGGTATCGAGAATAGCCTTCGAATGGCTCGGTGCTGCATATGGAGCCATAAGAAAGGTAAGGCGGGGTATAACAACTAAATCTGGTCTCGCCATTCCGGGTGATGTTGAACACCCTGGTCGCGTTGCCCGTCAGCGCCCGGAGTTGGGTGAAGTAGAGGTCGTGGTACAGCTTGTCGTCTGGGGAGGCGGCGTCCAAGGAGAAGTCCAGCTGCCGGCCAGTAGCCGGAGTCACCGCGGTCTGCAGAACTGTGATAGGCGGCTCGAATAAATCGTCGGCATTGTCCACCTTCAAATCGGTGGACAAAGGTAACCCATGAAGGATCGATGGAGGGGTTCCAAACGCGATCGTAAGGGTCGTCGGGAAACCTGCCTGTTTCGAGGCTCCAAGGGAAATTAGATTATTAAATGGCTGCAGCTTAGCTAATTTTGCGTGCTTAATTAATTAATTAATTAATTAATTAATTATGCCTCCTTAATCATAATGAGTTTTAATCCCAAAGACTCTCAACCTCTCTAAGCTATCTTTCGGCTCTGCGTGATTTCTGTTCCTCCTCCTTTCTTTCCTACATCTAAAGCATTAGATTAACCTGTATATATTATATTAGTTCTTAGATCTTTGAGTTGACTTACTACTGATCAAACGATTATTTTTTTTAATTATCTTTAAAAAAAAATAAAAATTGGATGTATAACTATTATAATGAGTATACTGACATTAAAAATTTGATATAAAAATAAAATTAAAAAATTTCTAATCAAACTCTAAATGACTATACCAAGTTAATAAGTTTTAAATGTAAGAATTTAACCACGATATCATAAATTTTATTTATATATTTTTTTATCATATTTAATCAATATAAAAATTATTGATTTTAATTTTTTAAAATTAAGAATAGAAATTAGATTTTGGTTCGATTTAGAATCAACAAACTATTGGCTCAAGATAAATTTAAACCCCCCTAATTTCAGATGGTAAAAGATAAATTTCCTATACCTCACCGTGTCGGATGCTCCGAAGTTGCGCCGAGTGACGAGAACCACAGACTGCGATGCATTCACGTATTCCTCGTAAAGACCGTTCCTGAGTGGTCTCAGCTCCAAGGAAGATATAAAAGGAGTTCCACTCCCTGTGTTGATCAAACAAACCGATGTGAGATTAGCCGTCGCATAGCTCAAAGCCTCCACCGTATAGATGGCAGATGGATCGGAGATGATGATCGTCTTCCAATAATCGACTCCGATGTGCAGTTCAAACTTTGTGGGGCTATTCTTGCCATCGTAGTTATGAAGGTAGCTCTCACAAGAGACGCACGGTTCTGAGACACATTCTTTAACCTATAGCAGTTCCGCAGTCCATCCGGAAAGCTTCTGAGGTTTAATTCTCTTGTTGGAACGGTGGAGTTGATGTGCTCCGATGAAATATCGAAGTTTGAGCCTGCATTAATAAACTGGTCATCCGAGACGTAGCTTATTTTTGTAATAGGGTCCAAATATTTGGAATTGGCGTTGCCACAGTCGATGCTGATGAATCCTGCAAAATAGATGATAATTCGATTTGCGCTCCATTCAGTATTATTTTATTTGAGTTTGGGAGTTAATTTAGATTAATGTTTTCAAGTAGTAGATCTTGTCGGATGTTATTTTGAAACTATTATCAGTATCTATTTATATGAAAAGATAGATACTGGATAAATGTTTTAGTAAAAAGAGGGACATGATCTTTTCTGATATTCTGATAAATGTCCTAATTGAATTATCATAAACCTCAAAATTTGGAAGTCATAAAGAATTCCATTAGGTTCTAACTGATGCCAAAAGGTCCGAGGAACACAGAAAGGTCATGTAATAAATAATTCAGCCCACCTACGGACAGAGATAAGAAGAGTTCAGAAGAACCTCCACCGGCTTAGTTTGCCAGCATCCATCGAGTTAATAGATCGAAGAGAGAAATTTGCATACCCGCAGTACTCGGCTGCTGGCAGTTGACCAGAGCGAGCATAAGCGACATGGCGAACGGAAGAAGGAAGCGATCCAACATCTCCTCCGCTGCACAGCACCAAATCTTTGCACCCTCACCGAGGTGATGGCACACGTAACACTTCGGTGTTGATGTCTGGCTACTTGGAGTCTTGATTCATAGCTCACATTCTTGACTTTGATATGCATCGATCAAGCATCAAACTTCGTCATAATGTCGATTCGTGCAGTTCGTGCACGGGTGGAGTTTATTATGGTGAAGAGATCATGGTGTTGCCATTATCTTTTCTATGATATATATGAAGGCCATACAGGACGTTCTCTTTCTCTCTTGTGATAATAAGCTTACCGAAATATTCATTTCAAAATGCAAGAAAAGCTTGAGGAGGAACGGAAGTTATCGATTTCTTCGAACAGATCAAATTCCAATAGTAATAATGCATGCATGCAAACCTCTCAAACCATCACAACAAATATCACCGTGGAGAACTATGCGAATCATGGGCCCTATACCTCCCCATCTCCTGCAGGGATCAAGCAACAAATTCCAAAATAAGTTATTTGAAGAATTTTGGGCCGAACCAATGACTTATGCCGAGGATCATGCATCTATCTATTCAAAGGTTTATACATGGCTCTATTCGATGCAATATCTCATTTCTTTACATATTTTCATGTTGTCTTTTCACGTAAGAGGATTAAATTAAGTTTATCGTTTGACATGGATCTCCATAAATCGTGATTTGAAATCGACGTTAGCTTCTAGCTAGCTTGTGCAATTAAAGACCATGGGTGATGATCGACTAATTCAGTGGCATCGAAGACTCTTAGTTACTAGACTTTTCTTCAAAGGACTATTGTGATATACTCGTGTTCCGATCCTTACTTTCATCCAAAGATAAATCGCCCATTAGAATGGTGGGTGGTATCAAACAAATGATGTGCCTAATTGTCTTAATCATGAAGAATAGTCAGTAAGAGAAGCTGCCTTCTAAGCCCTAACAACTTTTACGTAGCCATTACAGCGTGCTGTGTGTATGGACTTGCCACCATACTCGGGACCTATCTGAATCGCCACTTTTTCTGGGATATAAATCACTGTAGCTGCAAAGAAAACAAACATTTCCTTGTAGCTGCAATCAACAGATGGTCCAAGTTACCCGTGCCGTGGTTTACCATTCACATCGAAGAGGGCATGCAGGTCCACTCGAGGGTTTGGACTTTGGCTGCAAGCAAGTGGGAGGACCAGCGCAAACACGTACCTTCTCCCATGAAGCCCGTCTTCTGTGCACACAGAAACCTCCACCAAAACCATGGTTTCCTTGCCGAAGGACAGCCTCATGGTCCCCCCCCCCACTTCATTGCCTCTCTCTCTCTCTCTCTCTCTCTCTCTCTCTCTCTCTCTCTCTTTTCCTTTTCCTTTAATTATCGCCACCTTAAAAGAAACCAAGTACTCCTCTCCCGTCCTTTTCTTTGCTCTGCACTCCACGGCACGTCGCCCATGTTCTTCTACCTTTGCATCAAAACATCGTACTGGTCACTGATTACCAACGCTTAATCTTATTTCTTAATCTTCCACAATGAGACACTTAATATTATTTCCTAATCCGCACCGATGGCGTTCGTGATCACAGCTGTGTCGGCTTTTCTTCTCCATTCTCATCCGTTTGTTGCGGCAGTTAATGGTTCGCTTTCGCCCATGGTTAGTGTTTCTTCCGCCACTTGATTCGCACTTGCTGCCACATTATATTGGAGAATAAATACCTGCATATTAATCCATTCATGGATGCAGCAAAGCGATAGAGGAGAAGAATTTGATGCCAAGTTTTGTAGTGATGCTTGATGATGAACAAGGCTGTCTCGCCAAAGACCAGCAGCGCCATAGGATGAATGCGTGGTTTTGTATTACCAGCACCAGCCCACCTTTTGATTCCATCTTTCATTCCCAAGGTTTTCAGGTTGGCTGCTCCATCCGCATCATGGATGTTGATGTCCAACTCTTTTAATAATTGTTTTCTCAAAAAGCAGCCACCAGTCAACCACAATCTATATCTCTCAATCCATTGCTTTTCGTACCTGTGTTTTATGTATTTTGCTTTTCCTTTAATTATTTTGTCTTGAACAGGTGATGGTGATCCAGTCTCAAACAAAGCGACTCTCTCCGGTTCATACTGCTCACAAACTCGATCTCATCATCATCATCATCATCATCATCAGAAGATCTGCAAATGACAAAGGATACCTCTGGATTGAGATCCAAACCAAACATTGGCACAAGTTAAATCCAAAAACATCTGTGAAATAAAAACAACAAAGGAGGAGAGTTTCTGCAAGCAGATTTCAACAAAAAATATATCTTTTCCTTCACATTTTTCGCATACATTCACAATCTTCTTCTTTCTTATTTATGAGCAAATGTTGACATAAGTGTCAAAGGCAATCTTCTGCTTCAATCCTTCACCAGTTCCGATACCCAATTCAAATCCGGCACCGCCTCCTCCTCCTCCCTCCTTTTAGCGGCCTCATCCTCCCTCGTCCCCGGAGTCACCGGAGCGCTCCCGAAGGCCGACAGGAACCCCATGCCACTTCGCGTCCCGAACGGTGGCGCCGAGCTCACCTTGCTCAGCTGTAGCTTCCTCATTGCCTTCACCACCTCGTCCACCCCCACCGGAGACACCGGAGGGGAAGAGCCATCCGAAGGCGGCGACATGGGAGCCGGTGCTAGAGTGGACGTCGGCGACAACGTCACCCTCGCGCCGTCCTTGCCCGGCGACGTCGGGCTCGGGGGCAGCACCACGCGCAGCTGCATAGGGGAGTGCGCGAAGAAGCAGACGCGGCGGCGGCAGGCGGCGCCATCCTTGCAGGGCTGGGTGCGGTAACGTGCAGGGTGGAGCCAGGTCTCGAACACGCCGTGAGCGAGCTCGCAGGCGTCGCCGCGGCGGCAACCCCCGCCCCGGCGAAAGTCCGGGCAGGGAGTGCCGGAGTAGTGGAAGCGCCGGGGGTCACGCCTCCGCGCCTTCTCGCCCTGGTGGGCGTAAGGGCACTCGGTCCAGTCGTGCGACCGCCCGCGGGGGCACCGCCGCACCTTGAACTCGTACATGCGGAACTCGTCGCAGGAGTACGCCTCGGCGGTAGCTGCCGACGAGGGGTCGTTGTTGCATGGGAGGAAGCGCTGCAGCGCGGCGAGCGCCGCCTCGCCGAGGAGGTGCGGCGGGAGGTCACAGGACAGGCCAGCGACGCCGCTTACGGGGATGGCGGAGTACTGCTGCATCACGACGGTCGGATACTCCGCAAAATGCCAGGGGGGGACGTGGACGGTCGGATCGCAGTGAGTTCGCTCACCGGGCACCATGGGAAGCCTTCTTCTCCTCTTCTTCTTACGCTGCTGCCGATGCTTTGGCGTTGGGGGGTGAATTCATAAGGCATATAAAGCTTGCCGGGGGGAGTGGGTCGTATGGACAATAAATTGGTGGCGGATGCGTTCATTTTATTTATAATGTAATAAAAGTGAAAGCGAGGAGGTTTTTTAATTAATAAAATGAAGGGCAAAACGGACGCCGGTTGGATTGCTGTAGGCGGTGACTTCCTTGGGAATTACCGGCAGTGAAGATACCCCACACCAGACGACATGTGCGGCAAGACGACGACGTTTACGTTGACACGTGGACTAAGACTTAGCCAGATCTAAATTACAAAACTTGTTATTATTATTATTATTATTAAAAGGTAAATTATTTATATGTTTGGGATAATTATTTATATGTTTCCGGCGAAGAGGCAGCCCGAAGTATTATAATGGTAATGGTGACACCATGGGCTTCCTGGGGGGAGTGACAGAACAGAACAGGTTCGTTCCTCCTCTCCGACCTCACCGAAGTATAATTAGATTATTAGAATTATGATGTCCTTTTTGTTTTTTTGTTTTTGGTTGATGGAGTAGAATTAGGTGCAATGCTTATCCTACGTCGACATCGATCAGCATTCCACCCACCAACTATTACTGTGGACGGTGACGGAGGACTTGGGTTTCGGCTGCTGTGTTTGTGGATAAGAGCTAAGACGTGGGCCACATGTGCAGTCCAACCCACGCAAAACGGGTCGATTGGAATTTTCGTCTTTTTTTTATGAGGGGGTTTAAGCTGGTATATTATGATAAGGTCGACAATTAGACCATTACATAATTAACCCGTCATCAGCCATATGACGTTAACACGGTCGTGCCCAAGTGTGGAGATCGTAGAGCCGCACTGTAATATTTTTTTTGTCATTGGACACATTACAAGTATCGAAATATTTCCGCTTTTAAAAATGATATTATGATGAGAACTTATAAATAAAACTAGTATTTTTTATATATTTTGATCAAACCAGAACCGAAATCAATCTTATATGGTTTTGTTTCATTTCCAAAAACTAAGAATCCAAACCATTAGTTTTGGAACCACAACCGTGGCAGCCCATTTGTTGTACAGCTGCATCAGCAATTCTGTGATCCAAGTCTTTGAGATTCATTTTCATTAAGGCCTTTTTACATGTGTTTCCCAGGAAAGTAATGTTGTTTTCTGAGGGCCATAATGACTCATTATGTCAATTTATTACAATGGATAGAGGTGCACAGTCCTAATCAACCCAATGACAGATGTCGAGACAAGTCCCGCTGCATCCAATCTCAGACAAAATGACATCATAGTTAGGATCGAGTGGCAAGATGAAATACGAAGAACAACCAAGTAAAGGGACCACCAAGATATTATCCATTTGAATCATTCACCTCACTACTCCATCTTAAGCAAGTTGATGTTATTAGATAGCAGCCACCAAGCAGTACATGCATGGATGATCACTAGAACACCTTAACACGGCTGCAACCCTTAGAGGCTACTGTCGTAAAACCAGAAGTAGCTTTATTCATGGTGATGCTGCAATTCACCATCTCAGCTTTGCCGGAAAGTACTGCACCAGAAGAGATGATCGAGTCAGTCATCGGCCTGTCGCGTTTAAGAGAACAATGGTGTGCGACCTCACTAGTCATCCACTTAACCTTGTCACTGAGAGAGAGGTAGTAGGGTTTCACTTCCTCCAGATTTATCTTCACTTTGCTCTTGCTGTAGAGATCGGACTTGCTGCACATTGCAGATGTTACTAGTCTTTTACTCTACCAAAATACAGAAGACGAGCTCATTGCAGTTGAACGAGGTAGAAAGAACTAACTTGAAGACGAGGAGCCACTTGAGCATCTCTTTGTCGTGCTGGTTCATGAGATACGTGTAGGCACCGGATCGGTGCAACGCTTACAAGGAGTGGAACCGCATGATGAAGAAGGAAGCAGGAGGCAGCTTCGTCTCATTCCCCTTCATCACCTGTTGCTTTCACGAATGTCATACGTACGTAGCAGAACAACGAGAATCCCATGCAGGCAGGTATAGCAGAAACGAATCCGTAGAGAGAGAAGGAGAGGCGCACGAGGAAAAACGAGGGAAGAATGGGAGACCAACCAGGTAGATGTACTCGTCGTGACCCCAAGACATGGTGACCTTGTCGAGCCCACAGTTCTCGGTGTACACCCCCAATCTCGTTTGTAACAGTGGGTTCTCCTTAAAATACTGCACGTAAAAGGTAAACGAAAGAGAGAAAGGGAGGTGGCATGGAGTTAGCTGTGGAGTGAGTCAGATGACTTTACGTTGTGGTGAACTATGGATTCGTCCAATGCACAGCCCAGTGGGAACGCATCACCTGTGTGATGAAGGGACATAAAATATCAACAGAAGAGACAGATTGCAGCCGACTAAGATCCAAATGTTTCGTTCGTTCGCGAGAGAGAGAGAGAGAGAGAGAGGACG